TTTTGTGCATTAACAACACATAAAAATGAGGATAATGTACAAGTTAATTTGAATTAAGGCTGTTAATGCAAATTAAGGCTGTCGTCTGTCTAGGCTATAAGACGACTAGCCATCTATTGTTATCATTCTACCTTTGGAGGATATCGAGATAATAAACTAGAACGTCAGGTTTGAGAATGAACTATTTCGGCAGCATTTAGGCCTAGGCCCCATATTTTCGGGTTTTCGTGACAAGAAACGGGTAAAATGGAGAAAAGACCATTGAAACGTTAAAATATCGATCTCTAGTCGTTTAGGATACCACCAAAATTCTTATGAGCAACATTTTTATAGAATATTGCGAAGATGAAAAATTCCAACTTGTGATAATTTGAGTTCGCTTCGATAAATTAAGGACGAAAAAGACACAAAGAATCGATTTTGAAGGTCGGAATGTTATGCAAAAATTAGATATTCAGCTATATGTTCATGTATAATGGGGTAACCAGCAAAAAAATATGACCACGTTATATCTCTTTTTTTACCTATGTCGATTTTTTCCTTCCGGTGTTTTCATATACTTTCGTCCCCAATAGGAATTTTCTACCCCCCATAATCATGTCTCATAGTGTTATCCAATTGAGGTGAAATATGTGTAAAAATTGTAATTTATTATTTAATTATCCATTGCTAAGAATATTTTTGGCCAATAAAACCCTCAACATATTATCTATGTTCTAAAGTTCATTTTAAAATGTTTATTTTTTTTAAACAAAAAAAAATAAAAAAATAAAGAAAAATGCCTTTGATTACCAAAGCTGTTTATCTTAAAAGAAACAAAAGAAAAACAAATTCTTATCACACTTTCCAAATAATTATTTATGCAAAAAGAAAAATTCCGAAAAATTCTTTGAGGTTAATAAAATCATTTAACATAGTTTTAAGTATTTAAAATAAATTAAAATGTTTATCTAGGTGTCACTGAATAAATGTTTTCATTAAAACACACACACACAAAAACAAACACGCATTCCAAAACTATCACAAGTGGAATGGAAAATGTTGTTATGCCTCCCAGGCACCAGACATTTTTGTTTTCTGTTCTGATTCGAAGTGTGAAATTGCTGGCAAAAAATATTCCCAGGCAATTACAATTAAATTAAAATGTTGTTGTAGGTAGGCATGTGTTCGGCAGCTAGTCAAGTTGCGACCAACCCCACACTAAACTAGCTTTAATATTTAATAACAAAAATGTTTTCGTTGTTCTCGTTTTTGTTTTAATGTGTCTTTGACAACCAATTAAATGAACTCACGTCGAGTAATGAAACACAAAAACAACAACACTAATTATAAAACAAAGTATAACAAGAAAACATGGATGTTTTTATTATAACAAATCAAATAATAATTGCGGGTCTTAAGTTAAATAATTAAAAACTCATTTACAAGTTTACAGTGTGTAAACTATGTGTCAAAAGAACAAAAACAATAACAAATAAAATAGACGCCGAAAATAAGGGCTAACAATGGTAAATAATACACAAACTAATTAGCAGTGAAATAAAAACACACAACAACTATAAGAACAACAACAACAAAGGCATTGCCGAACATTTATAATTATGAACTGTAAAAGCAATTTGCAGGTTAATTTTCGAATATTGTTGAATATTAGCAGGTTGTTCAATTAACACCCTCCTGATTTCAAACAGAGCAAATGCATTCCAGAGTAGTTGTTGAGCTTTGCCATAATAGTGTGTGCTCTTGATAGCTATCGTTGTTTTTGTTTTTATAACTTTTAACAAGTAAACATGTCGTTATGATCAGGCGGGTCGTAGTTTTTATACCTCCTTCACCATGATGTGGATATTCAAAATACCTAAAATCTGTAACTAAAATTATGCCATGGTACATTTTTGGAAGGAAGACTTGACAACCAATAAGAACTCAAAATATTATATTCGAGCCAATTCGGTGGAAAAATGTATCCAAACTTGACAAAATGTCATTATTGGGGAGAACCGTTATATGGAAAATATCCTAAAAATTGGACGCAATATTGATAAATGTTTGGTATTGTATGATTTTCGCCTCAATAAGGATTCAAAAAAACCATAAACCCCCCAAAATATCGAAATTCAGGAAGTGGCCTTATTTGGAGGCTACCCTTAAAAGTAAACCAATATTTATGTATTTATTTTTGGTAGGAGGATTTGCTACCCCATGAGAATTCAAAATACTAAATTACAATCACGTTTGTTCAAAAAATGGCCAAAATCCTCAAAGTACCTTTCTAAGAGGCCTACCCCGAAACTTGAGTCAATATTGATATCTTTTGCTACGGAGATTTGCTACCAATGAAAACCCAAAATGCTCTGTTAGAAAATTTGTCCAAACTTCCCAATATGTCGAAATTGGAGAGTTATAGGTAGCAACCCAAAACAGTGGACTAATATTGAAATATTTTTGGTAGAAAAATTTGCTAACCAATTAGAATCCAAAATACTAAATTATTGCTATATTGATTGAATAAAAATTTTCAAATACGTAAAAAAATCGAGGGAAATAGAACCGGTTTTTTAAAAGGTTTCAAATTTATTAATATTTATTTTATTTTTATTTCCCCGAAATTGGCTTTTTGACGTATTTGGCATGTATATGTTTTTAGAAAATAATTCTGACGAATCAGTTGTACATTATAAGGCATTCCTTATACTGGATTTATTGGGTAAGGTTTTAGAACCGTGTTACGGGTAGAATTGAGAATAGATCATTAAAACGTTAAAATATCGATTTCTTGTCTTTGAGGACCTCACCTAAAATCTTGTGAGCAACATTTTTGTAAAATATTGCGAGGATGGCAAATCGCATGCTGTGCTAATTGAAGTCCAGTTCAATAAATTAAGCACGAAAAGGACAAACAAGGAAACGACTTAAAAGGTCGAAATGTTCTACAAAAAAATTCCTCATATGATTTTACTGCAAAAATGTGGCCCAAAAATGCATACGGTAGCTCCGAATGAAGATATGAAGCTATCTCTTCAAATATAATAGGGTCACCAGCAAAATGGCGAATTTTTCCTTCTGGGATTTTCATATACACACCAAGGCCCTTCATCTCCAATAGGATTTTTCAATAGTTAGAACGATCATCGGAATTCTTAATGGGATATATGGCAATCCTTCATATGGGAAATATGGACCTATATATTAAAAACTTTGTGCGAAGTAGTTGTTTACCCTTCAAGAAATTTCAAATTATATCCTCTTTGCTGGGGCAATGTGCAGAGGGTTACAAAACTAACTACAATGAAGCTGGCATCCATGTCAAAATATAGAAATGTTCTGCAAAAATATTACTTACTTTCCATTCACACAGAATGTTAAATTATAGTCCCTTCAGATGAAAAATCTGACTAAAACCTTAAAAATACCGAAAATAGGACTGTAGCTATGCGGTATCCAATAAATATTTAATTTTAATTTAATATACATGGAATCTTTTGGTGGAGGGAACAACAATTAAGTCTTTCATGAGACTTTTGTGAACACCGGTACAAAATACTAAACCTCTATTTTAAATACAAACAAGCGGACATTATTTACTCAACACCACACATTTCCACTAAAAACACGGTCTGTGGTTGGGCCCGGCAAATTAAAGCTTCGCCAAAAAGGAGACAAATTCATAGTTACAAAAAATAAATATTTATTTAAAAAAATTATTAAGCAATTCCGAATTTGTCGGTAAGTTATGTGAGGTCAATAAATATATAATCGATCATTAAATCGATTTTAATCAAACTATTCTAAAATCATTTTTGTGTCAATCCAAATGTGGACTTTTATGGTTATTATAAAAATATTATCAAAAACTTCCTCTTTCGCGTAGATAAGGAAGACGGCAAAAAATTTACTTCCTCCAACATGTGTTTTTATTCACACGACATATGTAAAATCAAACCTTATATGGAATCACCCATATATACAAATTATTGACACCTTGTTACAACTTTTAAATGTTCCAACATAAAAAAACCAAATGTGTCTAAGCATAATCCGTGCTTACTTCTATTGTCCGACATCACAGTTGAGCATAGTTAGGCATTAAACAAAAGAACAAGTTCGAAAAAAAACTTGAGCTGTCATTCTATTGTAGAATACTGGGTGAGTGAATGAGTTGAGTGCGTGAGCCATAGAATGATTTTACATGCGTTAACACGCACTTCGTTTAGTTTCGTGGTGTTAAAGAGACACATCACTTGGCTCATGTCCATGTTCCGCATTAAGTTTCATGTTATCAGGGTGATGTTTCTCACACGTTCCACTTGGGCATCAAACAAAAAAAGACAACTTCTAAAAGAGTTTGAGGTGTCGGCAGTCGGTCGGCGGCCCTTGACTACATTTCAATTTTTTTAGTTTTCTTCAGTTTTATGTGTTATAAATTATAATTACTTAAAAGTGATGTGAATATCAAATGAAGAGGATATGCTGAGGGGTAGCAGTGTATTGGTTAAAGGTGTGTGTTAGTATGTTAGAATAATATTTTTACAATTATCTAAAGTAATATTTTTAGTTTATTAGTTGACTTGGCATAGCAGGGTGTTTAGTGTGTCAAACAAAAAACTGGAAACCACAAGTTCTTTCCAGGCAAAAAAAAAAACATTTTTTTCGATAGTCAATAATTTCAAAAACAATTTGTTAATGTAAAAAATGCATCTAACAACACAAAATGTAACACAGAATTGAGTATCAAAAATATCAACCAAGAGAGAAAATTTTAGAATTTAAATTAAAGCGATATAATACTCTTAAAGAACCTACATAAAGGCAACAAGTACCAATACGCCCACATGACTAAGTTCGGTCATAAAGGACGATATGCTTAATTAAGACCATATCCAGCCGCCTATTTTTAATATTTCGTTTTCATTATATTTATTATTAAATTTTTTGTTTATTTAATTTTTTTATTTATTTTCTAATCTCAATTTTATTTGGTTTTTTTCTTTCATTATAGTTGGTCATCAAGAAAACCTGTGAATGGTGGTTCTACCGCAATAAATGCAGCAACATGTCGACCCATTGGAAACAAAATGCATTTCTCATACTCACCACCTGCCTATTTATACTCCTTGGTTTGATAATCTTTTTTTCACTGCCGGTCAAGGAGACAATCACCACCAGACCACCACCTCTACACACAAACACAATTAGTAACTGGTCAACAACAGCAACAACAATCACTAGTATAGCAATAACAAATCCCTCCCGAAGTGAGGAAATAACAACAACGACGACGAGGACAACACCGACCCATACGACGACGACAACGACGAAAACAATCACAACGATAGATACAGTAGGTGATGGAGGTGGCGGTGGTGGTGGTAGTAGTGATATCATTGTAAATGTTGACGATAAACTTTACGATATAACCGATATTACCTCGTATAATAATCAGACATTTGAAGGTGATGAAGAATCCTGGGGTATCGGTGATGGTAAGTATAGCTAAACAATTAAAAAATTGTAGTTTTTGTTGTTTAATTCTGTGTCTAAAATCCTGTCAATAAAATAAAATTTAAGCCCGAAGTGTGATGTTAGAAAGCTCGTGAAATTTATGAAAAACGTATACAACTATGTGCAGCATACATCATACTGGTGTACAGGCTATGATGCCTTGGGGCATTTTAATGTCTTACAACCTGTTTTTGTAAAATTCTAAACGAACGAATTCGAGTGACTCACGACCAAACTCCTTGTTTTTGAAAAATATGTCATTTATTTTTGTTTAGAATCAAAAAAATATTTTTTATATAAATAAAGGTTTGGTAGTAATTCGTTCGAATGGATTTTATTCGAATTTTACAAAAACAGGCTGTTATGCACAAGATAGACTTGTGAAATATTTTTTATAAACAAACTACCCGTTACAATTACGAAGAAATTGGTGATGATCGTATTTCGATATAGCACCCATATTTTGTATGCGATTGACATCAAAGGAACCGTTAAGATCTTATCAAGAAATGGACCGTTTACTTATTCCTCAATAGACCTTTTGTCCCATTTAAACAAATTCCCCTCGGATCAAAATCTAAAAGCCTCTGAAATGTATGGCCAACAGCTCCTGTTTAGACTTTCTTCGGTAAGAGGAAAAATTATTGGGACGAGCCAAAAGTTAGCTGGGGTCAAGTCAGGCATAATGGATGTAATTTTATAGTTCGGATAGAAAATATCCATTGGGTAGAAAATATCCAAACCGAAAACAGACCATATGATACCCTACACGATTGATCCATAACTGTGGCTTGTAGAATCATGAAAAAGCCATGCTTGTTCCTTTGTCAGATCCCTTGCTTCGTGTAAAATTTCGTTGTATTCGGGTCATAATTGTAGCCTCTAGAGCGACTAGAAAATGTATTTGACCCATATTATCCACTAAATTTTAACCGACCATTCCCAAAAATAATAGGGGTCTTCTTTGGCCAGAAATGGTCCTTCATGCAAAAGTTCATGACGATTGATCCATAACTGTGGCTTGTAGAATGTTTACATATTATAACGGGCAGACAAACGGACGGATGGATTAATATGTCTTGATCGATTGAGCTCAGTCGAGATATGATCGGTGTACTAAAAATTGGGTCTATAACCAACATTTGGCGTCGTTACAAACTCATGGGGCCACACAAAGCTATAATACCCTCACAACATAGTTGTATAGGGTATAATTATAGATATTGGCCTAAGTTTCCAGCTAAATCACATTCGGCATTTTTGGATTTTTGTCAATCGAAATTACTGTAATTTTATATTTTGGAATCTTCCTACAAAAATATTGGCCCACTTTTTAGGGTAGCCCCCGGTACCAGTTTTTTTTACAACCAAAATGAATTAATTTTCCCACCTGAGTGTCTGTTGTTTGGTATTTTCTCCTGGTAGCAATTTACCTATAAATAGATCTTCTATAGACCAAAATCCTCCTAAAATCCTACTATGAACAGAAGAAGAAACGTTTATATACAGAAGAAGTAAACTTAGATGCTTCCGATAAACATAATACACCCTGGAGTTCCTTCTAGAGATCTTTTGTACACAGAAGATAACTTAGAGATCATATATAATCAAAATATCTCCATGAGATCATCTTTATACAGAACAGCTTTTAGAGGTAGAATATAGAATATTTTCTTGAGGCTTCTATGGTCAGACGATATCCAAAGATCTGTTAGAGGCCTTCTATAGGCAGAATGAACTGATATTAGCTTAAGACATAAGACCGCCTGGATACCTTCTGTAGTCGCCTGTCTATCTTAATTTGTAGCCGTTTCACGTATTTTTGGAAATTACATTATTCTAACTCAATTCCTTGTATATCCTTGACATATGTAATCGTGTTTGTTTATTAGCTTTCTAATGGAATACATATAGGGTATTAAAACCGGTTTCATAATTTAGAAGCTATTTAAGGTATTTTAAATAAAGAAGGCAATTTAAAGTCTTCCATAAACAGAAGACATCTTAAACAAGAACTTTTTAGTAGACTAAAACCCACTTCAGTTATGGATTTTCTTTGATCAAAGACAGTTTGAAGTATATACTGCAAACTAGTAGAAAATTTCCATAACTCTGTTTTTATCAGATCTTTAATGGATCTTCTAAAGATGTCTTCAACAGGTATCCAAGTGACTGAACATACTCTATACCTCACCTATATCGAAGACCTTCTATAAATAAAAACAATTGTTTGTTGAGAATGTTTTTGTTTTTTAAATATACGAAGACCGACTATAACGCTTTTGGCATTATATGAGTCTTCAATTGAACAATACCTTCTATAAGTTTTCTATGAATTTTTTTATCTCTTGAGAGCATAGGATCTCTATTAAGCTAACCATCTTACTCAAATAGTCCTTGTATTAGTTTTGTTAATCATTTCCCCATATGATGGGGCTGCCATTTATTGTTGCCTAGAATCATCGCCTCCTTGAATTTTGTGCAGTGGTCTTTGTCCTTACTTATTTAGTATTGCCCTTTTCTTCTGGGCGGCGCTTTCTCCCGCCATTCTTATTATGTGTTATCTTTTTGTGTAGATGGCGAGATTGGTTATTAGAATGCCAGTCGACTTAAGATGCCTTCTATGAAAAGAATGGCACCTGAGAGGGAAGATATTTAGAAGTCTACTTAAGGAAGAGGACCTCTTAAGACCTTCAATAGACAGAAAATCTCTCTAGACAAAAGAATTTAACGATTTTGTTCTTTTTTTCAATGTCAAACCTTTTGTGAACAAATCTATTTTTTAACTAACAAATTAATTTATTTATTTTTAATTGTTTATTTATTTTTTGTTCTCTTTTCAGATTTATCAAATGATATAGAAAATGATATCGAAGATATTAACCATAGTATCCCTGATGAATATACCAGTGAATTTGTGACACCAATTAAATTTCACAATTTTACATTAAATGCCGAAGATTTGTTATACGAATCGAAACGCAATTTAGATAATAGCAATAATAATGGTAAATATATATAATTTTTTAAATTAAAATAATATTTTGAATTATAATATTTTCGATGAAAAAACTAACAACATTTTACGAAAAAAACTAAACTTCCAAATAGTTCAAATGAATTGATAATTTTGCCAACGTTTAATTACAGCTCTTCCCTCAATAACTTTAGTTTTTAATTGAATTGTTTTATTTTTATGTCTATGTCATTGCAGATTATTATTCCGCATTTAGTGGTACGGGTACATTTCGTAGTAAATCTAGTCAAATCTGGGATCCACATCCGGAATATATATTCAGTGCATTTGGACAACGTTTGCATTTGGTATTACATCAAGATACCTCATTTATCCCAGCCGAAACATTTAGGGTATGTGAAAAATAACAAAAAAACTACAACAACATAAATAATAAATAAAAATAATCCAAAACTGCGAAAATAAGATTTTTAATAAAGATTTGACAATTGGCTTGATTGTTGGATCTAAAGCAAATATATAAATGAAAAAAACCGCCTCTGTTACAGGCATAGTTCCTTTTAACTAATTCGTTCCGGAACGGCCCAACTCTGACGCATATGAGTACTGGTTATTATTGGATAAAATAAAATATATACTGATATATAGAAATGTTTGTCAATTTTTGTTGGCATAGAAGTAAAATACAAAAATAAACTTGAATACATTTCAATCATATATTTAAGAAGATAAATACACCATTTAATTCCCATTCAGTACTTAACGACCAAGCTATTAATTAAAATGTTTAAACAATTTAAAGATAGAAACCCATGACTAATTGCACAAAAGAAACTTATTTGCATTTAAGACAGCCAAGACAATCCCAACATTTTTTGAATAAAAAATGAAACCTAACACTTGCCTCAATGATAAATGAATAAGAAAAAACATAATGGGTATTCCATTAATGAATTTTGATTATTTCAATGAAACAACATTTTTTTATTAATTATAAAATTTTAAATTTATATATTTTTTCTATTTTCACATTTATTTTTCAACCCCTAGGTCATTAACATTTTAAATAATCGCAGCGAAGAAATTGATCTAGAAGAGGGACACTATTTGGGCTGCTACTACAAAGGTCATGTAGAAGGTGACGATCAGTCAGCGGTGTCTGTGTCACTCTGTCACGGCATGGTAAGTAGAAGCGAAGGGGAAACCTCCAGGAGTCTCTCGGTTTAAATTGTTTTAATTAAATTCAATTAAATTTGTTGTATGATAAACATGGTTCCAAGGAAGATATTCATAATTCTAGCCTCTAAATCAACGTAGTTGACCCATATCATTTTCTAAATATTAACCGACCATTCCCAAAAACAATAGGCGTCTGCATTGGCCAGAAAGGGTCCTTCATGCAAACGTTCGTGGCGACTGGTCTATAACTGTGGCCTGTAGAGTGTTTACATATTATAATGGACAGACGGATGGATATGACGATAGGTGTACTGCTTAGGACCAATATTACGCGGACCAACATTTCCCATAGGGCCACAGAAAGCTATTAAACCCATACATCATAGTTGTGTAGGGTATAATTACAAATATTAGCCTAAGTTTCGAGCTAAATCACATTCGCCATTTTAGAATTTTTGTCAACCGAAATGACTGTAAATTTATATTTTGGATTCTTCCTACAAAAATATTGGCCCACTTTTTAGGATAACCCCGGTACAATTATTTTGGGGGAATTGGGTACATTTTGCACAATAATGACTGTAATTTTGTGGGTTGAAGTCTCATTAGGTAAAGAGTTATAAATATTGGCATATACTTCGGGATAGCCCCTCTATAACAGTTCCCCTATTATTCGGTATTTTTGATACATTTTCTTACCGATATGTCAAATAATCCTACCAAAAATTATATATATCGTCTGTATTAGCTGTTATTTAGAATTCTGGGACGTTTGTGGATAAACAATTTTTTCACAGCACACTTTTCCAGGGAAAATATTCAATACAGCAAGTGGCTCCAAAGGGGTAGACAGGGGGAAATCTTCGATTAATTTTCAGAGTTATTTTCTTTTATATAAATAAATAATCTGATGTTGGTCTTCTATAGTAGAATAATATTGAAAATTTTTGTAATAAGATTTGCAACCCCAATTCAGTTGGTCCTAAATCATGAAAGTCCAAAAATTTAGGGATACGTTTATATGGGGGCTATACCTATAGTTCGACTAATAAATTTTAATATTTTGACAATATATAGTAGGGAGATTTCCCAATAATTATTTTGAATAAAACATTCAATATGGGTCTACGCCACACAGACCGGCGGATATGGAAATAGTCTTAGAATTGTCTTCCAATCAAGAATATATATGGTATAAAAATATTTTTCTTATTTTTCGAGCGGCCGATCCTAAAAAGTGATGTCTTTGTAGCCATATTCCTCTATAATTAAAGAGATTAATGTCAGAACTTGATGATATAAAAAAAGTATTAAAAATTATTAACATTTATATTCATATAGAGATATATTTTATTTTATTGTTTATTAATAACTAAGACCAGCTTTTAATTAACGCCTATAAGCAGAAAACACCGTTGCAAATTAAAAATTGTATTTCTCATAAATATTTGTTTATATTATTAATCGACGATCAAAATAACATTTTGTTTCTCTTCTTCTTCTCCATCTACTTCTTTTTTTCGTTCTTGTTCTTTTTTAATATTCTTAGACGGGTTATATTAAAACAAGTTTCGGTACTCTGCTCATACAACCGGAGAACAATCAAACATTTAACGATTCACATAGCCCCAATGCCTCCGCAGCTACATCTGAAATCGTACACAAAGTCTGGCGACATTCACGTCGCAATGCCAGACATACTGTCTCCGCTCTTGACATCGATTTAGGTGAAATCGACAAACAACAGAGCAGCGGCGGCAATATGCCCAAGTTGAAGCGCAAGAAACGCAATTACGAAGGCAATCAATATACCATTGAACTGTTGGTAGCCGTTGATCGGACGATGCGCGAGTTCCACAAAGAAGATCTGACGCCATACATTCTAACGCTGATCTCGATAGTGTCAAATGTTTTTGCCGATGCCAGTATCGGTAATCCCATCAAAATTTCGGTAGCCAATATTTTGGTACTAACCGATTTTAAGAAACGACGAAAATCCGGTTCATCGAATCAGACAGTTTTGGAGGCGTTCTGTTCACATGTAGCCACAAATGGTTATCACTATGATACAGCGATGCTAATAACAAGGTAAGTGAGAATCAAACATATATACTTACATAAAGACAGACAGACTGCCATAGAACGATGAAAATTATGACTAGATATGATTTGGTTTATTACAACAACCTTGAAGGGGCGAAGCAAAATATGAATTCTGTGTGCGGATTTCAGACATGTCTGCGGACATGTTGTTTATCTTTCGGTGTCAGGGTGACCGCTGGTAATTCGTATTTGATTTTTATGTTTCTGTTTTTTTTTTTCGTTGACCTTGCAGAGATAAGATTTGTCGCAAAGATCGAGAAACCAAATGTGATACATTGGGTTTGGCTGAACTTGGTACCGTTTGTCGTCGTAAATCCTGTTCCATTGTACAGGATAATGGTTTACCGGCCGCCTTTACCATTGCCCATGAATTGGGACATATGTAAGTGTTACGATTTTTTACTAATTAATTTTTATAAACATGTGTTTTTCTATTTTTTGTTTATTTATTTTTAGTTTAAATATGCCACATGACGATGATTATCGTTGCAAGCAATTCAACAAACCCGGCGTGAAAAGACGTCGCCACATCATGTCCAGTGTTATGGAACGTGATATTCATCCATGGTCATGGTCGGATTGCTCACGCCATTATGTCTCGGAATTTTTTGAGTAAGTTCAAGACTAATTTTAAGGGATGTACGAAATCGGAAACCTAAAATTTTATTCTATGAGACATTCTGTATATAAAGTGTTTAATGCACCATTTATATATAAGCTTTACCTAATTCTGAGTCGATCTCTATAAATTTTTCAAATGGGTCTATGTTTTGGCATTTGCCTCATACAAAGGCTCCGCCTTATTTCAGGAATTTAAATCGCTCTATGGTTATATCCGAACATCAGTAACTTTAAATTGGCATTCCGGGATATTTTTAATAGGAATTTTAATGGTCCATATTCCAGCCGAAGTGTTTGTAAACTTCTTAACAAAATTTGGGCCCATGCATTGACAAAGTCCTCATATAAAGGTTTAGGTATTTTCAAGGTCTTTGGGGAATTTTCTATACATACAGATTTTGACATAGCCTCCATGAAATAGTCCTGGCCAATTTATGGACTGTTTTTCCAGATGTTTATTGTTAATAAACTTCTTAACAAAAAGTTAAAATATGGGACCAAATTTCGACAAAGCTCCCAATATTGGTCCCCATCAATTGTTGATATTTTAATGATCCTTGGAGATTTTTTCTATATTTTGACAAAGTCTCCATGAAATATTCTGACCCATTTTAGGTATTTTGATAGGCCATATTCCAACTGTAAAAAAACGTCTTCCAAACATTTTCAAGTATGGGTCCATGTTATGACAAAGCCTACATGTAAGAGTCCCACACAATTTAAGAATTTTTATTTTCCCACCGAAATGGCTGTGGTTTGGTATTTAGGGTTCTTGGTAGGCACGTGGTCTCCATATAAAGGCCAAGGATATAGAACTAAATTTTTGAGCAGACTTATCACAAATTTTTGTAATTATGCCGCTTCCATTGAAATTTGCCAAATTTTGCTTTCATTTTAGATCGGAAAATCTCCCAATATCTATATTTGTTCACGTTAAGGTGTTGCCCCATACGGCACTCCAATTCCGCAATTTGTGATTTTATGAAAAAATTTCATTAATAGTTGCTGCAATTTGTCCAAACTTCCTTGGGAATCATTGTCAGTATAGGTGCACTATTTTAGAATATCCTCTTTATAATAATCCTAATCGGTTTTCAATATATCGGAAGTTCAACCAGTCTTTCCAACACCCTCCGCTGAAATCAAATAAATATCAGTATCCAATGGTAATACTGATACTTTGTTCTTGTCATTCTTTTCATATTATTTCTTCAATTGTAATCTCATGTTTTATCTCCTTCCCTCCCTCCCAACCACAGAAAAGAAGATACCACCTGCCTTGAAGACACACCCACAAAATATGTACCCAATTACAATACCCTACAACCGGGACAAATTTATTCCCTCGATCAGCAGTGTCAGCTAATACATGGCAACGAGTCAGTGTTTTGCCCCCACGAAGCCGATTGCAAACGTTTGTGGTGTAAATCCCACTATAGTCACACAAATTGCCGTTCTAGTCTACTACCCTGGGCCGATGGTACACCATGCAATGAAAATCGTTATTGGTGTATGAAAGGTGAATGTGTACCACGTGAAGGTTATCAACCGCAAGCAATTCATGGTGGTTGGGGTCCATGGAGTTCATGGTCACCGTGCAGTTTAACCTGTGGTGGTGGTGTACAAGAAAGTCAGCGCGAATGTAATAATCCACTACCGAAAAATGGTGGAAAATACTGCATAGGGGCAAGGAAAAAATATCGTTCATGCAACACACAAAATTGTCCACCGGGCACAATGGATGCTCGCGAACAGCAGTGTTATCAAATGAATGGTCGCCGTTTTGGTATTAAGGGTATTGCGCCGGATACGAAGTGGATACCGAAATATGGATGTAAGTAGTAGATTTTGAGCAATATTTGACGAAATGAACTGAATTGCGAATTTATATAAATAATAAAATGTGATTGTTCATTACATTGAAAATAATAATGAGTGGTGGTACAATACATACGCTTCGAAATAAAAATAGTAACTGAGATCAATCAAGTCAATATTTGACGAAACTAACTAAAATAAGAATTTACATTTGCAAATAATTATAAATGATTACACAGTACATTGGAAAAAATAATAAAACATGTTTGTACAGTACATAAGCTTCGAAATAAAAATTAAGCAACTTATCAAAAGGAAAGTGCAGAAGAGATCCGAGTCGCCTTATAACAATTCATTTTAATAATTGTATAGCCTCGGTCTTATATTCCCGATATGTACTGTACAATCACATATTAAAATTTTCCCAATAATATTTAATTCAAAATCCAATAGAATTTGTCATTCCCACTTATTTCATTTTCATTATTTCCTCCTCCTTTTATCCATTATTTTCTTTTCAGTATCATCCCACGATAAATGCAATTTATATTGCCGTGGTGAAAATCGCAATACCGGCTATTTCCGCCTGGCTGAGAAAGTCATCGATGGTACCACATGCTCCTTCGATACATTCGATAAATGCATCAATGGTGTTTGCCGGCCGGCTGGCTGTGACAACGAACTCAATTCCATAGCTAAATTGGGTGAGTAAAAAAAGAGAAAAACAACAAAATAAAGTGCAGCTAAAATTAGCATTTAGAACAAAAATCAAACAAACCATAAACATTCAGCACTGTACAAATGCCAACAACATTTCTATTCTCTAAATATACATTTAACAACCGACACATGAGGAAGATTAACCACCGCCACCATAGCAAATGATTCATGACGAACCAGTCGCATCATGGGGTGCTCATCTGTGCGACACCGGTGCTATTGCAAATATATATGTCAATGTCACTCATAATCATCATAACAAATAATGAAATGTCTCATCATTATTATCAGCCGCAGCAGCAACAGCACCACCACCAATTCAAACACCCTGGCTGGCGGGCTAGCTGTAGTAACAGCATAATTTTTGTGCAAACTATTCTGAATACGAGGGAGGGACTATAAATTGCTAGAAATAAATTATGGGTATACCCTCAGTGATAGTTTGGGGGTATTTTCGTAAATAACTATATCTATAATAAATATATTCTTAATGTGAAGCAAATTCCGCCCGTATATGGGAGTTGTATTAAATTCTTAACCGATTTAAGATAAACTTTACAACGAGACGTTTATATATGTATGTCGCCCAATTTTCATAAGGTGGATGGAGAGTGGAGAGTTTTTTTGAAGGTACCGCCCTATTTTAAGTATTTTAATTGTTTTAATGTCATTTTCCTAAAACATAAATTATCGGTTCGTGGTCTTAATTTCCAAAAACTTGTCACTATTGGTTAATATTTTGACATATCCTCCATTTTAAGGTCCGCCCATTTTATATATTTTGAAGAGTCCATGTTCTGACAAATCCAAAATTTGTTCCAATTTTATATAAGGATTTTAAAAAGTTTTCCAACCGAATTAATTTTACATTTTTGATTCTGAATTAATGGTGAATATCTCTAACTGTCCTAACATTTATCATCAAAAACGGTTTTATTGTTGTACAAATTATTCCCCTACATAGAAAATTTATTATTTAATCATATATTATATAAAGAGTGTTCAGAAAGTGTTGCCAATTTTCGGATTTTAGTACTTAATGAATTAAATTCATAAAACTTGTCAGAGAGGGTAAAAAACCCTTGGTAGTGTGTTTTAATGGTGTGTTTTTTTCATGGCACATAAACATTATGTAGTTTCGATTTTCCTCTTTTACATTTATCTCTTATTCTGCCTTTACTCGTTGTCTTTTAGACATCCATGTTCACATATTAAGTCACAATTCGAACAATTATCACATACAACAATGTTAATCCCTCTGACCTACCGTGTGCTCGTATCGAAATAATTTGGAAAATACATATGCGAATTTTGTAATAACAATGTAATGTCTGAAATAAGCAAACAATGAAGTGCTAAACTAACCTCAATCGAGTAAGTGGAGAGAAGGAGTTTCATAGCAAAGAGGAATAATAGCCATACACAACCACTATGTGAGGGGAGAGAAGGATTGTCTATGTCAGAACAAAACACAACCGAACAGTGAATGGCTTTTTTTCTTGGGAGTAATACATTCGAGAGAATAACAAATGAGCGCAAAAAGTCGTAAAGTAAGAAGAAGAAAGAAAGAAAGTTTTGGTATTAATGAAACTTTTAGATATTTTTGAAAAAAAAAATAGTAGCTTTACTCACGATTATAAGAAATTTTACTCGTATTTCTAAAAGAGTTACATGGACAATATGAGTCGTTTTTTCGAATTATATCCGAAGGTTCCAAGCAAACAAAGGTTGGTGTACCACTCAGTAGCTGATCATGCTTTCTAAAATAATTGGCTGCAATAGGGATACAAAGTCGAGCACAGAAGTCGGCTTTTAGATTTTTGCCACTGACCAAATTTTATACTTTTCGATTTTGGTCTATGACTAAAAGTCGACTTTTCAACCGGTTCAAAATCGACTTTAATTTCTAATACAAAATTGATTCTAATACAAATTATACCCTCAGCCTTACATATATTGATGGTGTATTTATTATATTACGGGGAATAAAATTAAATTAGCTTTCGAAAATGATAAAAATCAAAAAAATTGGTTCAAAAATGGATGCCTAGGCATATTCTCTAAAGGAAATATGGCTCTGTATCGTTTCCTGTTACAAACCGTTATGTTTGTAACAGGCAAACGAAACGAGAATAGACCCATAGTTCCTTTAGAAAATATTAGATCAATACAAAAATGTGTATAAATCATCCATTTTTGAACCGATTTTTTTTGATTTTTTATCATTTTCGAAAGCTAATTTAATTTTCTTCCCCGTAATATAATAAAACTTATATGGCTTATATGACTTATAATTTCATCGTACAGTCCGAAGAAAAATAAATTTTGTCATTTTATGCGTATTTTTTCACAATTCAACCGCTGTAACTCAGCCAATACTCTACCGATTTACCAAATATATATCTTGCTTGAAAGGAAAAATTGTACTCTTCGAAAGACAAAAAGAATAATATAAATCCGTTATAAAGTAAGTAAGTTATTCAAGTTTCAAATGGAAAATCCATGAAACCACGTTTTTCTCTATATTTACCGTTATAAAATTAATTTTCGAAGTGACCCAGAAAAACCAAAGGTATTTTCGTGATCCAGGGACTCCAACTAAACGGAATTGGTACATTAGAACGCCTGAAAAATTTTCGTGTCGCACAGTGTAATTTTTGGTAGGGAGATTTGTTACCATATACGACTACAAAATACCAAATTTCAGCAAATTCGGTTGATAAACTCGCTCAAGAACCCCAAAATACCGAAAATTGGGGGTACCCCTATATAGGGGCTATCCGAAGAAATGGATCTATATTCATAATTTTTTGTGGGGAGATTTGATACCTATTAAGAACTCAAAATACTAAACTACAGCTAATTCGGCAGAAAAATACGATCAAAACCCCCAAAATACTGAAAATTAGGAGGTACCGTTATATGGGGACTACCTTAAAAAGCGGACCTATATTCATAATTTTTGTGGAGAAATTTAGTACCCAATAGGAACCCAATGTAGTAAATTTCAGCGAATTCGGTTGAAAAACGCGCCCAAGAACCTCAAAATACCGAAAATTGAGGGTCGCCGTTATATGGGGGGTACCAGAAAAATTGACCTATATTTATAATTTTTAGTAGGTTGATTTGGTACCCAATAAGAACACAAAGTACCAAATTTCAGCGAATTCGGTTGAAAAACACGCTCGAGAACCTCGAAATACCAAAAATTGGGGGGTACCCTTATATGGGAGCTATGCCTAAACGTATAGCCCATCTTCGAACTTGACCTGCCTGCAGACAAAAGACGACTCTATGCAAAATTTGGGGGCTCTATCTCAATTTGGTTAGACGATAGACTGATTACAACAGACAGACGGACATGCATAAATCGTCTTAGAATTTTACGCTGATCAAGAATATATATACTTTATAGGGTCGGAAATGAGTATATCGATGCGTTACAAACGGAAAAACAAAACCAATATACTCTCCATACTATGGTGGAGGGTATAAAAAAAGAGGTATGTCCCCCTCATAAAGTTCGGACCGGTTGAACTTAACGACATTTTTAGTTGTTTTTACTCAAACTGTGCTCTAGATACGAAATAGAATAAGTGATATATTTTTCTTAAAGAAAACAACAACAAATTACCCATTGGAATCGGTTCCGCCTAATTTAGTTATTTCAAAGATTCCCCAATCTACATTCAGCTATATTTATTATACGTATTCATAATTTCTTATATTCATATTTTTTACTTATTTTTTCTTTTCCCTCTCTCTCTCTCTGTCTTTTTCAGATAAATGCGGTGTTTGTGAAGGACGCAATGACACATGTCAAGATATTGCCGGACGTTTTTATGTCTCTGATTTATTGAAAGTGCAAAAACCTAAATCATATTTCTATCATGTTACCACAATACCCAAAGGTGAGTTCTGATTCAAAAAAAAAAAAAACACACACACACACACGCATGCAAGCATTAATTACCTCATTGCAAGGAAGGTGTATGAGGGTGCGTGCGTATGGATTACGCACCTAGCTATTTTTAAGACCTCTTAATTGTTTTGTTTGTTTTAATTTAAGACGATTTGTAGCGCATTGTGTGAATGTGTCGGTGTGTATGTGCGTGTTTTTTATTTTATTTCATTACAACTCGTATTAATGATTAATGACTTGATTTGAGTCAATCAATGTTTTTCATCGCGCTAACATGTCATCGCCAATCATTGATATGCTGTCAGCAATGCCGGGAAATAAGACATCAGTTGCATTTTAAATGTAATTGGTTTTTAGTGCCCCTATGGAAATATAATCGACACAAAAACATAGTTTACATTACAAGTGTGTTATCATGACAAATATTGTATACAAATGCTAGCAAGGCGTGGGGTAAACGGGGTGAGTGGTGCATGGTGGAACTTTTGTGTGAAATGTCAGCAAAAATGATTTAATAGTTTACATGAGCCACGGGATGTGATTGACGTGCAAAGTTTTATTAATTAACTTTGATCTGAGGTGTTTATTTTTAACACTAGTCGATATTTTTTTGTAATAAAATTATTTACACTTTTAAAATAAATTAAGAAAACAATGATTTTCTAAAGAATATTAATTAACAGGCATGGTAAAAAATTATTGAAAATTGCTCCTCTAAGGAATATTGATTAGGGACATGGTAAAAATATATTATTGTTAATAAAGATATATTCTTAAGAGGGTCCCAATTTACGGTTTCAAAAAATCGAAAAACGTATTTTTGTCCCTTAAACGCCTCTTAAATAATTTCCTACCATTCCATAAAATAAATAATAAAATTCATGAAAAGTTCTTGTATTCCTAGTGATGACTCCCTGTGTTGAGTCCTATACATTCACAGATTTTTTCCAAGTGCATCTTCTCAATATTCCCCATGAGAAATAGCAACAGCAACGACAATTAAAATATAATTACATTTCTTCTTCATTGTCATGGGGGGTTGGAGGTGTTGTGAAATGTTCCAAGTGTTAAATTATTCAATACCCTCAAAGATTATCGGCATTAAACATTCTGTTCGACAACCGTTGTGTTGTTAACACTTTAATTCATTTGAGGTGTGTACTACACAATGCGTGATTGTCATTAGAAACACTGTTTTTTTTGTTTTTTAATTTTCATGAATAATAATAAAAATTCTATATCCCGGTACTGGGATATTATTGCAAAATCATTTATTAGCATCAATAAACAATTAGCCAAAGGCGAAGAATGTTAGAATGGCAAATAAATCTTCTATATTTTGGCGTGTGTACACATTAAAAATTAAACAATCAAAAAATAAAAAATTAACAATCCAAAAATAATAAAAAAATATATTAATAAATAATACTACGACTACTATAATATAAACCTATAGTACAAAAAAAAATATACAGCAAACCGATACACTACAATATACAACCATCAATATTATTAATATTCTTTTAGACCTTTGGTCTCTATACAGACCATTTGGCCCCTTAAGACTTGTGTTTTCTATACAGACAAATTAGCCTCTATAAAAACCTGTGGTTTCTATACTGGCCAATTGGCCTCTATAAAGACCTGTTGCTCCTATACTGGCCAATTGGCCACTATAAAGACCTGCTTTTTCTATACAGGCCAATTGGCTTCTATAAGAGACCTGTGGTCTCTATACTGGTCAATTGGCTTGTGCTCGCTATACTGGTCTATTGGCCTCTATACTGGCCAATTGGCCTCTATGAAGACCTGTGGTCTCTATACTGGCCAATTGGCCTCTATAAAGACCTGTGGTCTCTATACTGGCCAATTGGTCTCTATAAAGACCTGTGGTCTCTATACTGGCCAATTGGCCTCTATAAAGACCTGTGGTCTCTATACTGGCCAATTGGCCTCTATAAAGACCTGTGGTCTCTATACTGGCCAATTGGCCTCTATAAAGACCTGTGGTCTCTATACTGGCCAATTGGCCTCTATAAAGACCTGTGGTCTCTATACTGGCCAATTGGCCTCTATAAAGACCTGTGGTCTCTATACTGGCCAATTGGCCTCTATAAAGACCTGTGGTCTCTATACTGGCCAATTGGCCTCTATAAAGACCTGTGGTCTCTATACTGGCCAATTGGCCTCTATAAAGACCTGTGGTCTCTATACTGGCCAATTGGCCTCTATAAAGACCTGTGGTCTCTATACTGGCCAATTGGCCTCTATAAAGACCTGTGGTCTCTATACTGGCCAATTGGCCTCTATAAAGACCTGTGGTCTCTATACTGGCAAATTGGCCTCTATAAAGACCTGTGGGTCTTTATACTGGCCAATTAGCCTCTATAAAGACCTATAGTTACATGAGTATTTGTTCTATGGGAAAAATTACCCACCACACACAAAATGAGGAAATATTTCCTTTGCTCATGTAATTATTAATAACAACTACAAATTACCATATAATTAATATGGGTGCACCTATGTATGTATGTAAATTTAACCTTATAACCCTTCCATAAACAAGCATGCCGATTGAGTTCGTGAGATTACCTATTGTTAGTGTCGTTGCTGCCGTTTTCAAAATCGTAAAATATCAATTTAAATAATTAAGCAAAATTGTTCAGCGTTACATGCCGTTTGATTGACACAAACACACACAGTCTTTATCAGATTGAGTCCCCTCCAGCTATCAGAACGTGTAATAACTACTAAGAGGCGCCAATAAAACAAAACAAATCCCCCAGTAAAAAACAAATTAAACAATCTGACTATCACAGTAAAACAAATGATTTAGGCGCCATGCTAACAATTGCGGATGATAACGATGCCGATTATAGTGATATGACTACAGTATTTTGTCTGTCATATAATATTTGCTTTATGTTGAGCAGGGGGGGGGCTCTTCTATGTATTTGGGTATTTATAGTTTGTACGTTAATTAAAATTACTTGAATAACTAATCAGAGTATTCATAAATTAATTTCTGCTAAACATGGCATTCCGGGTTTTTGAAAGTTGACATGCAGAAAATTGTCAATATAGGTCCAGGTTTTGACATAGCCCTCATACAAATGACCAGTCTAAAAGGACTCTATTTCATCAATTCAAAGATTTTTTCTGTACCAAAAAATATTATATTTCCGTGCCTCGGTATTATCCCTGAGAACTATAGGTTTCCCTGGGATTGTCTTTTGCTCACCTGGAATTTTATAATTTTTTAATTATTATTAATATTTTTGATTTCAGGTGCCTCCAATATTGTTATCGAACAACCCGGCAATCATAATGAAAACTATATTGTATTGCGTGATGATCAGGGAAGATCCTTGATGAACGGTGATCAATTGTTGACGGCCTATCACAACATTAGCTATTATGCTGGAGTTGCCTACGAATATAATGGTTCGAATAGTACCATTGAGCGGGTCAATACCACATACACCAAGAAGCTGAAAAGGGATTTACGAGTTGAGGTGAATAATCTTAAAATACTAAATCGAAATATTTGTAACAAATAATAAATTTATTTTATGTTAGCTCCTCTCCCTAACCTCACACAATCAACGGGACAATGACACCCTACTCCTAACCTATTCCTATACGGTGGACAAATCCACAAACTATGTCGAACAAGATGTCGAAATCTATCGTTGGGAAATGCAGCAATGGAGCGTTTGTGATTCCCTGTGCCAGGGTACAATGCATCGGACACCAGTTTGCATGAGTACCAGCCAGGGCATACAGGTGGCACCAGAATTCTGTGATATTCAATCCAAACCGCCAACGGAATACCGGGCCTGCAATACAGATTGTGTTTTGACGTATGTAACATTATTGCTAAAAAAAATAGATTAAAAAATAACTGTTTTATGTTTCTCTTCCTTTCAGTTTAAATCTCACCGGCATTTCGGAATGTTCGGCCCAATGTGGCCAATTGGGTACACGTGAAAAGACCTACCATTGCATACAAACCTTTACGGATTTTGGTCGTTCAAATATTGTCGATTTGAAATATTGTTCGGCCATTTATGATATAAAAACACATGAAGAATGCCGCGAGGGCTGCTGGAAATATACGGACTGGATGCCGGTAAATTTTCTTACATGAGTTCTGTTTTCCCCCATTTTCCATTTATATAATTGTTTTCCATTCCCCCACCAGTGTTCACGTTCCTGTGGTTATGCCGTACGCACCCGTAGTGTATCCTGTTACTTTAATAACTCATTTGTGCATGATGGTTATTGTAATTCGAAAACCAAAGCAAATTTGCATGAAATCACCGCCATTTGTGACCTAGAACCATGTCCGACATATTCGGCACCTGTAAGTTTTACGGAGAAGCATTTTAGAAAAACCACGGTCCTGTTTTTTTTTCTATAAAAACACACCCCAGGTTCCTGTGGAATTATTTTCTTCAGAAAAAAACACACCTTTGAGTCCTAATAATGTTTTTCTATAAAAAAACACAACATAGGTTCTTGAGGAATTATTTTCTGTAAAAAACACACCTCAGGGTTCAGACGATTTTTTTTCTTTAGAAAAACTCACCTCAAGGTCCAGAGGCCCTCGGGGTCCTGAGGAACTTTTTTTCTACAGAAAAAACACATTTCAGACTCTTAAGTTTTTTTTTTTTTTTTTGAGAGAAAAACACACCCCAGCGTCCTGAGGAATTTTTTTTCTATAGAAAAAACATCTACGGTCCTGAGGGTTTTGTTTCTATAGAAAAAACACACCTCAGGTTCCTGAGGAATTTTATTCTGTAGGAAAACACACCTCATGGGCCTGAGGATTTCTTTCTATAGAAAAATACACCTCAGGGACCTAGGTGAAACAAACTGACTCTTGTTTCAATAATGAAAAAACTCCTAGGGCCTAAGGAACTATTTTCTATCAAAAAAAAAACAATAGGAGTCTAAGGGGTCTGGAGATTTTTTTCTCAGGGACCGCCAAATTTTTGGTGTAGAAACTAATATATCTATTTTGTTGTTGTTGTTATAATTCTAGAAAAACTCACATCTGCTGCTTAATAATTGGATTGCATCCGATTGGGGAGAATGCGATGACAAATGTGAAAAGAATCGCACAGTAACATGTCGACATCCTCAGGGTATCGGCTGCAGCAGTGACAAGAAACCCATTAACCGAAGAAAATGTTGCACCATCAAATATGTTTCCAATTGGTCAGCGGTAAGTATCCCCACCTACTAAAAACGTAATATATTCTCAAAAAAAGAAAATTAGAAGAATTACAACAACATGGTAACTATAACTACTAATCTTTATTTGCATCCCTATGTTTTGTTTCTCCTCTTCTTGTTTTCCATCATTTTTTCCATATCACTCATCGTCATTATCATTCTCTATCGATCTTTCAAATTTATTTGGAAAAAAACTCCCGTACAGTGTTCGGTACAATGTGGCAATGGGGTGCGGACAAAGGAAATGCATTGTGCCCGCGTCTATAAGCCAGAAATCAAGGGTGCGCCACGACGTCGTGAGTTTATCGATCCAAATTATTGTCGCCACCTACGCAAGCCCACACCCAAACGAAACCACAAACCATGTAAGGTTAGCTGTAAATGGTCCGTTTCCAATTGGTCCCAATGTCCGACCGATTGCAGTGAAGAGTATCAATCACGTTCGGTGTATTGCGAATCGATAGCTGGCAATCCGATAAATCACATGTACTGTGATGCTTCGAAGAAACCACCCGAAAAGAAGATCTGTAACAATTGTGTTAAACGGGAATACAATACCTTGTCAAAAGTAAGATATTATCTAAACACCTAACCTAGCCTACCGCTACCGATTCAATACCAAAGTTCAGTTTTGCCAGATTAAATGAATTAAAAAACGAAAAAGTAGGAATGGGCTTTTCTGGTCTGTCAAATATAAAATAAGAGTTCCAAGTGCGTTCCATCTTATGCATCTCATGGCATGTTCTTGTAGTCTGTAGTCCTCAGGCTGTTTATAAATTAGCTGAAATTAGAACTCCCAATGATTTTCTTGTTGTTTTTGTTATCTTGTAAATATTAATTTAGTTTGTTTAATTTTAGAGTTTCTAGAATATACTTTGTAGTGTTCTCTTAGCAATCTGGCAATACTGTAAATATTTTCCAAATTCCTCGCCAAATTCTTATAAAACTAATAACGATTTCCTTCTTTAATCTATTTTTGTAACCTCCCAACAGTGCAACTGTGAAGGCTATCGCAGAAAGCGTATCTTCTGTTATGATTCTCGACATCAACGGATACCCTGCCCCACCAAGGAAAAAGTCATCAAAGAGAAATGCCGACCACCATCCTACTGTTATCCATCGTCTTGTTACGACTTGCGGCGCTTCCATAATACCCATGAAGATGGCGAGTACACCATATATGTCCGATCGAAACCGAAACGTATCTATTGCCACGACATGGCATCGACATCACCCAAAGAATATGTAACGCTCAACTCAACCGAGAATTATTCAATTTATTACGATCGTAAAACACGAAATCCCGATCAATGTCCACCCGATTCTAGGCAGTGGGAATATTTGGAACGGTCATTACAATCGGGTCGTACATCATTCCGAAAGATTCGTATCGATATATTTAAGTTGCAGGTCATTGTGGATGATTTTACGTTTGCCGATTCGGTGGGCAATCCACAACCATACGGTTCGGCTGGTGATTGTTATAATCGTCGGAAACAATGTCCACAGGGTGATTTCTCGATAAATATTTCACAGACCGGTTTTCGAATACGACATGGTGTTATTTGGGAGGCATATGGTAACCATGTGAAAATAAAGGAGTCGCCATCGGTAAGTAAAAAAATTAGGTCACAGGAATTTATTTTCTATAGAATACTCCTTTCGTTCTGAGGATTATTTTTCTATAGAAAAACACTCCTCCTAAACATTGAGGGTGTTCCTTTCTATAGAAAAAACACATCTCAGTGGCTTGAGGAATTTTTTCTATAGAAAAATCACACCTCAGTGGCCTGAGTATTTTTTTCCATAGAAAAAAACACATCTCAGGATCCTGAGGAATTTTTTTTATAGAAAAAAAACACAACTCAGTGTCCTGAGGATTTTTTTTTTATAGAAAAATCAAACCTTAGGGGATTGAATAATTTTTTTCTATAGAAATAACACAACTCAATGGTCTGATGAATTTTATAGATAAACACACCTCAGGGACCTAAGGATTTTTTTCTATAGAAAAGACACACATCAGGAACCTGAGAAATTTTTTTTCTATAGAAAGAACACACCTCAGAGACTTGAGATTTTTTCTATAGAAAAAACACACCTCAGGGGCCTGAGGATTTTTTTCTATAGAAAAAACACACCTCAGAGTATTGAGTAACTTGTTTCTGTATAAAAAATACACCTCAGGTGCCTGAAGCATTTTTTCTATAAAAAAACACAACTCGGTGGTCTGAAGATTTTTTTTCTATAAAAAAACACATCTCATGGGCCTTAAGGTGTGTTTTTTCCTATAGAAAAAACACACCTTAGGGTCCTGAGGATTTTTTCCGTAGAAAAAGCACACCTCTGGGTCCTGAGGAATTTTTTTTCTAAACTCAGCCTATTTTCTAATCTCATTTTTTTTTCTTCCAGAATTCTATACATTCTCATCGAGCTTTGTGTGGCGGCTATTGTGGTGGTTGTCGAATTGCCGATGAAGCACCCCTCTTCCTTGATGTGTGATGCTGCGGTTGACAATGGGACAACTCAGCCCCCTTTCTTTTTTTGTGGGCAGTTTCACAAAACTGCAATTGTTTGGTGCTAAAAACAAAACACAACTGTTTTCGATTTGCTTCCAAATTGTGGACGCCACTGTCGCGTCCATGAGGTCCGAAACGAAAGAAATCGAAATTTGTATTTTTTTAATGCATTTATTCCTTGCTAAACAAAAAGTTCCTATTGGTCTTTTTTGAGGATTTTCTTTGCACTGAGACACAACACAAACCTCCAACGAATTTAACACAACACGAAAACTAAACAGGAAAATCCTTGGAAATAGCAACAGATTTTGGGGACTTTTTGGAGGATTTCAAACAACAAGAAAAAACCTAAACACAAACTAAAAAAAAAACAACTGAAAACAGAAAACAAATCCCAAATGATTTGTGAAGTGGTTGGGAGACCAGCTATATAGCAGTCATCATCTCAATCACCAGCGACAAGACTACCAATATGATGAATCCTTACCAAAAACAAAAAAAATCAAAACATAAACGAAAATTTATCCCCAATCCCATCCCATCCCAACCAAAAACAACAAAAACAAATGCCATCACATTAATCTATCCAAAAAAAATCAAATTCCTTCAAACAATCCTACTCCCCTCACCCACCCTAAAAAACGCTAAAACTTTCACATTTCACAAAACAAAAATTAGTCTCAACAACAAATTTTTTTCTCTTTCCGCAATCCTTTGTCTCTGGGAGACAAGGATATCCAAAACAAAGGAAGAGAGATAGAAAATCGAGTTTAGTTGTTTCCAAAAAAACTTAACGCTCACAGGTTGAGGTTAGTTTGAACAGCAAAACTCATTTTTGCACAAATTTAATTTATTTTTAATTTTTAATACCACTAAAGTTGAATTTTATCAGCTTTTATATATTTATATACAACATATATATGTAAATACTACTACTCTAATAATTATTATTACTTTTTTTTAGTTAGTTGAGGTTAGGTTGACCATACCCTAAACTTTAATTTAATTAAAACGAAAAAAATATCCCAATTTATAATTTTAAGTATAGTTAAAAACAAAAGGCATAATTAGGTGTTTATTTTGTAAAATAAAAAAAAAACACAACAAAAAATAAATCACAGGAATATAATTAAAGCCTTTTGGCTTTACAGGCAAGGTTTTTATATATTTGAGGTTAAGTCGATTTCTTTTTTCTGAAAATCCTCGCAACCTTGCCCCGGTTAATAGTATTAGAACTATAACAAAAAAAAAACTAAACAAAAATATTAATTCAAAAATAATTACGAATACTAACAAGTTTATTATATCTGTGTTCAAAAAAAAAGAAAAATCTAAATTATACAGGGTGCTCCAAAACGTGTAAGTTAAAATGAAAACAAATGCTCTGTTCCCGTACTTCAAGATCTTAATATTTTAATTTGCTTCGATATTATAAAGGAGAATTGGATATCGTAGTAACATTTTTTACACTCTCACAGGTTCTGGAACAGACTAAAAATTAATGAAAGTTTTTTTTTCAGGGAAATGTAAAACAGTGTAGCTCCATTTCTTTCCTTCTATTTCAATACAGTAAAACCTCATGTTAGTGGACACTGCCAATACCACATGACATGAGATTTTTGGTATTGAAATAGTTGATAGGAGTTAAAATTAATTTTGAAAGGTTTTCAGTCTTTGATTTTTGACTCCAGCTCACAAAATTGAGAACCCAGTTACCAAGTTTTTTTTTTGTACACTAAAGTAGTCCTTATGTCCCGAGAATTTAATCTCTTAAAATAGTCAGTCCTCGGGACATGATGATTTTTTTATAGAAAAAAATATAAGTCAGTGAGCAGAGGACTTTTATTTTGTATAGTTATAAAAAGAGCTGAAAAATTTTTAAATGGATTTTTTCTGTACAAAAATAGTCTTTTTATATAACTGAGCTAAGGATTTTTTATACCTGAGCTAAAGATTTTTTAATATAGAAAAATAGTCCTCTCCCAGCTGTCTTAAAATATTTTCTATAGAAAAGAAGAGGAAAAACATCCTCAGAAAAATGGTGATTTTATATAGTGAGGTAAGAATTTTTTTATGAAAAAATGGTCCTCTCATAGATTTCTTACTTTATTTTTTTACGTCAGAGATTTTTCTATAGAAGAACATACCACATAGGAAAATTTATTCTTAATTTCTGGAGAAAATCCAGTTCACAGGATAACTGAGAAACCGTTCCCAGTATTTTTCTACAGAAAAGTCTTAGTCTAAAAGTCTTGTTTTATTCTGTACTAAAATTAGTTCTATCTCAGTTTTTTCTTTTAACCGTCTCGGAATTGGAGAAAAAAATTAACTGAGATTTTTATCTCTCTGTATCAATTATTGTTACCTCTCTAGGAACTACAACCGTTTCCCGAATCCAAATCCACATTATTTTTTCTGCAATCACGTATTTTTCATTTTTATGCATACATTTTGGAACACCCTACATAATTTTAACAAAATATAGCATGTGCTTGAAAACAAAAAAGTATTTTATTTTGTAATTAGCCTCACCGCATGAATATGAATTTTTTTATTGGTATTTAAGAAAAAAATCTTAAGCCAAAATAGTTAATATTTTCTATATGGAAAAAAACAACTGCCATATTAAGAAAAAAGTACAATTTTCCTTTTAACTTCATTCAAAAAAAAAAACAAAAATTAAAAAAAAAACCATAATGGAAAATTTTAAATTACACACACAAAACAAATTGCCATAATTTTTTTAAGTTTAGTTTGTCAACATGTAACGGTATTTTAATGTAAAATTCTATAAAAAAACAAAAAACCTTAAAAGAATCATAGCTTGACATAGACACCACCATTTCCTTAACTAATATGTATGTATGTATTTCAAGAACCCTTAAACTGCCTATTATTAAATATGCCCTTGACCTATATCCCTGCCCCCCTGACTTTTATATAAACAATATGTATAAATTTCGAGCTATGTTTTGTTATATTAACATGAAAATCTCTTAAAAAAACTCGAAACTTATTTGCCCTGCCCTGTACTATAATACTCATAGTAATAAAGCAAACAAAAAGAAAACCTGCCCCCAAAATCTCAACACATAAATCCGGAATGGTGGTCCATTGAGTTTCTTCAACATAAGATGTCTATGTCAGTATAAGCATTAAAAAATTATCCCCCGCCTTTCCTTTTATTATCCCCCGCCTTTCTTTTATAAATAAAGAATTCATTGACATTACATTTCAAATTTTATTTTCTAAATAATTAACCTTTTTGTAATATAATAATAATTATAGTCTAATTTACAACGTATATAAACTTAATATAGAGAAAATCTTTTAAATGTATATTTATGTATTCGCTTTAGAAAACAAAAACTTACGAATAAAATAAAATGAATTACCAACAATGTCATTCTGTGTACATTTATAATTATTATACTTTTTAGTTAAACATCCACAAAAACAGCAACCCACACACAACTTACATCAACATACATATATTGTAACTATTCGATAAAGTTGTAATAAAACTGTTCAAATTTTTATTTGAATTGATAGAAAAAAATAGCCGAAATTGCCAATGATTATTTTTTGGGTGGTGGGGATTTAAAAAAGTGGAAAAAACAGACACTCAGATTTAAAAATTGAGCCTATAAACAAACACCTTGATCGAGGCGTGGTGACTATAGAAACCATTAACCCCGTAATTACCGAAGAATTACGGACGATTCTAAGGCTTAGGTACGGGAGACCCAATAGGATTACGGACACTACTTTGGAAAATGGAAAATATCACTATGATGCTGCGGATATGGCTTACTACTTGGCAATGGCAATGTTTGTTCACTTTTTGATCTTTTTCAAACCATCCCCTTCATTTAAACATGTTCAGAATCCACAAGATAAGCCTAGCAAATGAAAAATATTAAAATTAAACTGAATTCACGGCGTATGAAAAAATTTCCAAAAATTGGGTTATATGGGTACTGTGCCTTGCTTGACATGGACCGACCTAGCCAATTTTCGAACTTGACCTGATTGTACACCAAATATATTTGTATACTCAATTTTAGCAGCTTCCTATCGTTTGTAATATATCGTTTATAGCATGATTACAACAGTCGGCATGGTTAAAATTTTACCTTAGAATTTTACATTAAAAAAATTAACTGTTTCCACCCTATAAAGTATGATTGAAATGATTTTGGGAAATGATTTATTTCAATAAATGGCAAAATTAATGTACACTCTATATTAGGATAGATAATATAAAAACAATATTTTAAATAAACATTCCAGCAATGATATCATTTCATGGGGTGTATGAGAGAATGGTCCGTAAATCAATATCGGCAAATACAATATTATGAAATTCCATATTTAACTGTATGCAACAAGAAATTTTGTCTGTGTGGCTAATACTGTATAGAAAACACTGTACAAACTATTTCACACACATTTCAATCTAAGTGGTTCATTAGACCTAGAAATTATATACCCTCCACCGAAGTCGAAGAATATTAACCCATAACAGTACAATGCTGCAATAAACATTTGAGTGCAAAAATTTATCCAGTTCAAATTTGTTTATGCAATCCATATTTGGTTTTGCTCCATGACTGCAAGAATCTACTAATTTTTACTATTTTTTCAACAATATAAAGGAAATATTGTTCTCGTAGTAAACATTTGTGCATTATATCAGGTTCTGGAACAGACAAATTGTGTCAAATGTTCTTTATATTCTATAGTTGCATTCAATCTTTAGAAATAAAACCGACGCCAGACTATTTTACAATAACAAAATACAAAGTTTTATCCCAAATAACCCGCCAACAATACCGAAATATTTTTCTATTGTCCATACGATGTCATAGTGTGGAATGTGTATTAAGTTTCTTATAGGGGAGAGGGGAACACCTTTGAACAGTTTTTGCTTCCAAGCCCCATAAATGTTGTTATTTTATAATTATTGATTTTTTTTTTTAATTTTAACTGATAGGTACCGATGTAACCTTTACTGAATATACATACATAATATATGAAATAAAATACCTTAATTATGTTTGAAATGATTGTCGGAATGCGAAAAAA